ATGTATATATATATTTTTTTTGTTTATAATAATTGTTTTTCAAAATGTTCATCTGTTGAATATTCGTCAAAACGTCCAGTATTAAAAAATCTTTCTACCGATATATTACTTGGATAGACCGATATTATATTTAATATGACCGATATTATATTGAATTTTTTCAAAAGAGGATGCTCAACATGCTTTAACATGCTGACATCAGTATCATCTGAATTTAAAGCTATTTTAAGCGTGTTTGTATATTACTGCCAATTGTTAGTATATGTAACGGGGATAGATTTTCGGGGAGTACTGGCAGTAATATATGAATTAAAACATCAAAATATAAAAGAAGCAAAAACGCTTCTTTTTTACATTTCATTATTCTAATTTTCGTCATCTAGAAGTTTCGTTTATGCTTCTGTTACTCTCCCATTATATCCGATTTATGCTCCAATTTTTATATATTTTCATCAGGGATTTGATAACTTTATGATAAGCAAAATAATTTGGAATATAAGAAGTAGAATATTTGACACCAATTTATGTTATAAAATAAATTATATTTTGTTTAGCATATAACCTACGTGTTTGCGCCGTACACTATTATTTCATTATCAGAAACAAAATATATACATCAAAATCATAGATATATAGAATACAGGAATTACTCATTACTGTTTTATTTCAATTAGTATCATATCTTTAATAATAAGATTAAAAACAAGACTATTTATGTTATAAACATTACTTTAATATGAAGCGCCACTACGGTCTGAATGTTAAGATGTTGAATTATTATATATATTCATATAAATGAATTAATTTCAGAAATGATAATTGTGTGCCGATATGGTTGTTGGATTTTCAACGTAATCAATCTGAAATATTAATAATCCCCCCAAATTTCCCAAATTAATCTTAAAAAACTGTAATAAACTTATTGAAAAATATTGTCTCGACCGGAAGTCGAATCCGGATCTCTTGCATTCCGTGCGAGAATTCATATATTTAACTCTTTCTTTATAGTACTTAGAATATAACAAATCTCGCATTTTACATTGTAAATTTAAATATATAATTTACAATAATATTCACTTTTTTGCGATGTTCCTGATGGAAATACACCATCGATGTAATAATGCTTCTCAACAGCCAATTAAAAGCGTTAATAGTAATTAGTAAGGTTGATTATAAGTTAACTTTTGTTTAACTAAGTTGATTAGTTAAAGTTAACAGCTTTGAAAATTTGATTTATTTACGGTACAGTTAATCCATAATGTACATTAATAAAATTAGAAGTTAAGTTAATAAAGAAAATAATTAAAAAGTCTAAAGTTAAATATGATCCGAATGAACAATTAAAGAAAAAAAAAAGAAAAAAATTTGACGGTTTATATAATTTTTTTTATATTTTTCCTTTCTTACAGCATATTATTAAAGAATTTTGCTGATTATTTTTTTTACAACTAACGATTATACAATATAAAAGATCAGGATTGTATAAGTTATATAAAAAAGTAATAAAGTTAACTGATTTTATTTATTTATTTTTTTTTTGATAACGAATGAGTAATATAATGAGTATAATGTAGTAAAGTCGTCTATTATTGGATAGGCTCCTAAGAGAGAAATCTGAAAAAGGACATGACCTTTTTCCTACAACTGCAAAATGCCCCCGTGCATTATTATTTTCTGAAGAAGTGAATGTAAACTACACAACAATCTATTTTTTTTCGATGCTTCTGATGAAAATAAATCGCTAAAATCGTTGAAATCTCTATTAATTTGATAGATTTATTTCAGTGTATTTGTGACTTGTACGTAGACTATACTTGCATCATGACAAGATTCCACTTCTATCATGGAAAATTAACTGACATCAGCGCTATTCATTTCGCGACATCGATAATATTGATACATTTGTTTTCATCTACATCCGGAATATTTCGATAGTGATTTGTTATAAATATTAAAAAATAGCTATAATTGTGTTTATGGAATTATGCGTAAAAATTAGTGCGCGATTGTGATCTATAACTAATAAGTAAATATTGTGTTATCTAACCTAATCTAACCTAATCTATACCGTGAGCTTCGGTTGTTCAATGAAGTTGAAATTTGTATTTACATATGTGTCGATAACTCAGATTAATTCATATAATCTTGAATGAACGTTGCAATTAAGATGGCTCAGCGATTAAGCAACAAGGCAAAGCTGAAATCATTATTGACCGTAACCAGTAGCGCAGCCGCTCTGTTTGGTGGCATTTCTCTCTACCAGGGCAATGAAAAATTTTACAGTGACGTTGCTATACCTCTGGTGCAACTGATAAATCCGGAAATCGCTCATAAATTCGCATTGATAACTCTGAAATATGGCCTTGTACCAAAACAAAAAACAAATGATCCTACCTTACTCCAAACAACTGTGTTAGGTTTGCAGTTTAAAAATCCAATTGGTATGGCTGCAGGATTCGATAAACAAGGAGAGGCAGTAGAAGGATTGCACAATATTGGTTTTGGTTTTGTGGAGATAGGTAAAATTTATACAATAGTAGACCTAAACTTCAATATTTTTAGATATAACGATCTTGCTTTTTTGTAGGTTCTGTGACACCTAAACCTCAACCTGGTAATTTAAAACCCAGAATTTTTAGATTACCAGAAGATAAAGCAATTGTAAATCGATATGGATTTAACAGTGATGGTCATGATATCATATGGGATCGTCTTAAGAAATTAAAGGAAAATAAAAATTTTGATGGTATTCTTGGGGTGAATTTAGGTAACAACAAGGAGACAAAAGATGCGATTCAAGATTACATTGATGGCATAAAAAAATTTATGGATGTAGCAGATTATTTTGTAATTAATATTTCTAGTCCTAACACTCCAGGTTTAAGATCTTTGCAAAACAAGAAGAATTTGGAAGAATTACTGACCAGAATAAATGTAGCAAGAGAATCAGTGGGTAGTAAACAGCCATTACTTTTAAAATTGGCTCCAGATCTGTCAGATTCTGAGCGACAAGATGTGGCAGACGTAGTTTTAAATAAGAAATCTAGAGTCGACGGTTTAATTTTATGTAATACCACAATTACGCGAATAAATTTGATTAATCCAAACAAGCAAGAAAGTGGAGGCCTCAGTGGTGCACCTCTCACAGATATTTCCACAGCTATGATATCTGACATGTACAAACGAACGCATGGTAGTATCCCAATTATTGGCGTAGGCGGTGTTTTCTCTGGAGCTGATGTTTATGTCAAAATAAGAGCTGGTGCTTCACTGGTGCAACTTTATACCTCGTATATATATCATGGACCACCAATAGTTGGCAAAATAAAAACAGAATTATGTGAAATACTTGAAACCAATGGTTTTTCTTCTGTGATTGATGCAATAGGCAAGAATGTTGAGAATAAATAGATGTTTTAATCTAATGTTTATATATACATAAATATAATACACATTCAATGCAACTTATGCAAAATCTATTGTAAGTAAATAATATTTTGTTAAATCATTTATATTGTTATAATTGAATGAGTTTTTACTATGTTTGTATTAAATCAACAGTTATGTGTACTGTCTACTTATGTATACTTATTTCAAGCTCATTTTCAGCTATGTACAAAATTTCTAGAATTATGTAATATTCTGTGATATTTATAGGAAATATTTCTATATATTTTAATTTCTCTGTATCATAAGTCAATAACAATATAGTGTGTGTGTGTGTGTGTGTGTGTGTGTGTGTGTGTGTGTGTGCGTGTGCGTGTGCGTGTGTGTGTGTACAGATGAATCAGAGTAATTGAACCAGTTTTTTATATTATGAGAAAATTATCAATCTCATATCTAATTATCGACTTATAGCAACACAGATTAGATGCGTAGATACATTCGAATTGCTGGTCTAGGTGCACTGAGAAAAAGCATTTTAATATTTTGTAACAATTTTCAATATCAAACTAGCCTGTTTTAGCGTTCAAACCAGCAATTCTCACGATTAGAGGATCGATAATTTTCATAGAATAAAAAACTAGTTCAACTACTCTAATTCACCCTTGTGTGTACGTATGTGTGCGTATGCGTGTGTATGTGTAATCAGTTTAATAATAATGGAAATTTGTATCTTGTTTTTTTCATATATGTAAAAAATAATAATTATTTATAATTATAATTATTTATCATCATAATTATTTATAATTATATATTTAAATGCAGTATGTCAATATGTATATACAACAAATAATATTTGTAGGAATTTTGATCACCGTGATTAGAAAAAAAAGCACATGTGACTGATACAAGTGCGTAAAACCTAAGTTTAATAATTTTAATGATTTAATATTTACATAGATTGGAGTATACATTTTCGTTTTACATAAATATTTATACGTTATATATTTGTAAATTTATGTTATATCTGTATTCTAGAATTATAATTTCTGTAAAATTTACGGGAAGTATCACGCTAATAACGCATAATATTTTAATTTCTTTAATATA